GGAGGGGCGGATCATTTAGAGTCGTGTGGGCCATGGGGAGGATGTTGGCCTTTACTCCAAGTGAGATGGGAGCCGGGGGAGGGTTGAGAGCACAGGAGGGACATGAGCTAACTTCGGAGTTAAGAGGCTTTCCTGGCTGCTGTAGCAAGAAGAGACGATGGGGTGAGGAGCCGAGTGTGGAGGTCATCAAGGAGGCTACTGCAATAGTCCAAGGAAACAATGAGGGTGGAAGCAGAGGTGGTGAAAGGTGGCCAGATTCTGGAAATATTTTGAAAGTAGAGTCAGCTAATGGACTGGACATGGAGGTGTGGGAAAAAGACAGCCAGTCGGCGATGACTGGGAGGTTTGGGCCAGAGCCACCGCGCTGGGGAGGCGGTGGGCGGGGCAGGTGCAAGTTTCCTAAAGGTCCCAAGCGGTTCCACAGCTCCAGGTCTTTGTGCTCTCTGTGGCCCCTGCTTGGAATGCCCTCCCTGCTCAGCTCCCCACCTCCAGCCTCAGCCTCAACCCTGCTCCCAGCCACAGCTGGGCCTCAATATCATCCTCTCTGGAGGCTTCTCTGCAAGGAACCCTGGTTCAGTGCAGTGCACCCTTCTGCGTCCTCATGACAACTTTCTCTTCCTCTTCCCTGGAATGGACAGTCATAGTCCATCAGCTGGGAACTTGTGCTGAGTGGACAACACCCAAGGGACAGGAGAGTGCTCCCGGCTTGAATCAGTCATCAAATGCACCTGCAGGAAATAACCTTGTTCTTTCCTTCATTCAGCAAATTTATTGTTGTTGCTATTTTTGAAATAGAGCCTTGCTCTGTAACCCCGGCTGGAGCGCAGTGGCACCATGTCAGCTCACTGCAACCTCCACCTCCTGGGTTCAGACAATTCTCATGCCTCAGCCTCCCAAGTAGCTGGGACTACAGGTGTGCGCCGCCACACCTAGCTAATTTTTGTATTTTTTATAGAGACGAGGTTTTCCCTTGTAGGCCACGCTGGTCTTGAACTCCTGACCTCAAGGGATCCTCCCACCTTGGCCTCCCAAAGCACTGGGTTTCCATTGCAAGTTAACTTATAAACCTACTTTTATAAAAATAACTATTTGGTGGGGTGTGGTGACTCAAGCCTATAATCCTAGCACTTTGGGAGACTAAGGCGGGTGGATCACCTGAGCTCAGGAGTTCAACACCAGCCTGGGCAATACAGTGAAACCCCGTCTCTACTAAAATACAAAAAATTGGTCAGGCATAGCGGCCGGCGCCTGTAATCCCAGCTACTTGGGAGACTGAGGCAGGAGAATTGCTTGAACCGGGGAGGAGGTTGCAGTGAGCCAAGATTGCACCACTGCACTCCAGTCTAGGCGACAGAGCAAGACTCTGTCTCAAAAAAAAAAAAAAAAAAAACCAAAAGCTGGTCGCAGTGGCTCATACCTGTAAGCTCAGCACTTTGGGAGGCCGAGGCGAGTGGATCACCTGAGGTCAGGAGTTCGAGACCAGCCTGACCAACATGGTGAAACCCCGTCTCTACTAAAAATACAAAAATTTCCAGGCCTGGTATCGGGCGCCTGTAATCCCAGTTACTCAGGAGGCTGAAACAGGAGAATCACTTGAACTCGGGAGGCGGAGGTTACAGTGAGCTGAGATCACCCCCATTGCATTCCAGCCTGGGCAATGAGATGAAACTCCATCTCAAAAAAAAAAAAAAAAACCATTTTCAAAAAAAACTCAGTGTATCGCGTGGCATTGTGTCATTTGGAAATTTTTTTTTTTTTTTTTTTTGGACAGCGTTCCACTCTGTCGCTCTGTGGCCAGGCTGGTCTCAAACTCCTGACCTCAAGTGATCCACTGGCGTCGACCTTCCAAAGTGCTGGGATTACAGGCATGAGCCACTGCACCCAGCCGCACATCTCTTTAATGTCTGGCTGGATCCTTGCATCTGTGTCTGTCTTCAGTGCCGCCATTCATTACATGTTGGGCAACTTCTGGAAACTTCCACTGTCCACTCATGAGCGAACGAGAATAAAAAAGGCAGTTAACATCTCAGGAGGGTAATATACAAATAATTTCGACCTCATGGATCCCTTGAAAGGGTCTCAGGGACTCCTAGGGAACTCTGAACCATGCTTTGAGAACCACCGACATGTAGTTTCAGTTATTTGAAATCAATAAAGTGCCAAAAAGGAAAAAGTATTAGGATAAATTTGGTGATAAAACTGACCCAAACAGACTCATAATCTTTTTCTTTTTCTTTTTCTTTTTTTTTTTTTTTTTGAGGCAGTCTCGCTCTGTCGCCGTCTGGAGTGCAGTGGCACAATCTCAGCTCAGTGAAAACTCCACCACCCAGGTTCAAACGATTCTCCTGCCTCAGTCTCCCGATTACAGGCGTGAGCCACTGCGCCCAGCCGATTTTTCAGATTTTAAACAAGGTCACAGGAGTATCTACTGCTTCTGTTGAACAACCCCAGAGGGGCTTGGCAGCCAACCTGTCATCCAACACTGGAGTATTTCCATGGTGAGACTTAGTTAGGAACAATCTCACCTTACAAAAGAAACAATTTAAGAGTGTGAAGCCTGGGCTAGGTGTGGTGGCTCACACCGCTAATCTCAGCACTTTGGGAGGCCAAGGGGGGTGGATCACATGAGACCCGGAGTTCGAGACCAGCCTGGCCCACGTGGTGAAACCCTGTCTCTACTAAAAGTACAAAATTATCCGAGCGTGGTGGCACACACCTGTAATCCCAGCTACTAGAGAGGCTGAGGCAGAAGAATTGCTTGAGCCCAGGGGGCAGAGGTTGCAGTGAGTAGAGATAATGCCACGGCACAGCCTAGGCAACAGAACCAGACTCCGTCTCAAAGAAAAAAAAAAAGAAAAGAAAGAAAAGTTTCATATATGGGCCATGCACAGTGGCTCAGGCTTGTAATCCCAGTACTTTGGGAGTCTGAGGGAGGTAGATTGTTTGAGGCCAGGAGTTTGAGACCAGCCTGGGCAACACAAGGAGACTCCCCATCTCTACAAAAATAAAATTTTAAAAATTAGCCTGGTGTGGTGGCATGCACCTGTAGTCCCAGCTACTCCAGAGGCTGAGGTGGGAGGATTGCTTGAGCCCAGGAGTTTGAGGCTGCAGTGAGCTATGATTGCACCGCTGCACTCCAGCCTGGGCAACAGAGCAACACCCTGGCTCAACAACAACAACAAAAAGTTTCATACATTAACATTTCCTTTATACTGAGCATGCAGTCTGCTATGGAGTTCTAGTTTATTCTATTCCATTTTTCTTTTCTTTTTTTCTTTCCTTACTTTTTTTTTTTGAGACAGAGTGTTACTCTGTCACCAGGCTGGTGTGCAGTGGCGTGGCAATCTTGGCCCACTGCAACCTCTGCCTCCCGGGTTCAAGAGATTCTCCTGCCTCAGCCTCCTGAGTAGCTGGGACTACAGGCAACTGCCACCATGCCCGGCTAATTTTCGTATTTTTAATAGAGACGAGGTTTCACCATGTTGGCCAGGATGCTTTCGATCTCTTGATCTCGTGATCCGCCCTCTTCAACCTCCCAAAGTGCTGGGATTACAGGCGTGAGCCATCACGCCCGGCCTCCATAAAAAAAAAAAAAAAAAAAAAATTGCTGATTGCCACGGAGTATTTTTTGTCTTTCTTTCTTTTCAGAGAGTGACTTTGTTTCTGAGACCACCGAGGATCTTGATATCACCCCTGCTAATGGCTGGGCGCTCACAGTTTGAAAAGCTCTAGGGAACCCCCTGTTACTCCCCAGACAAGACCCACTCCATCCCCACCCTGACTCAGAGGTGCCTGGCAGTGCTTAAGCCCTAATGTGCAATTATTCCACTCGTGGCTGCTTTCCTTGAATCCTCGAGACTTCCAGAAGTTGAGGGAACACGTCTCGCTTGCTTCCTGCTGCGGCCCCAGCTTCTGGCCCAGCGCCTGCCTAATCACATAGTGGGTGCCTAATAAACGTTTGTTGAGTGAATATATGAACAAGCGAGCTGGGGCCAGAGTCAGGACTGCAGCCCCGCTTGTGCCACTCCCTAGGACTCGATAATTCTGCTCACGTCACTTCCAAAGACCCATGCAGCGGACCCTCCCTCGGCTTCTGCTACCCGCATCCAGCCGCTGCTTAACCTGAGCCTCCTTACTGGGTTGAGCAGGACTACATTTCCTACAAGTCTCAAGGCCAGGACTACACTTCCCATAAGCCTCTGCTTCCGCCAGGTTCTGTGCCCTTCAGCCACCGGGGCAGCAAATTGCGTCTTTTCTCACTCCCCGCCCCCCGATTGCATCCCCTCCACCCTGCAGCCCTTCCGTGCGCCCCCTCCCTCCCGTGATGAACCTGCCTCAGTTTCTCCAATGAGACACCCCGAGGGCAGCCCCTTCCCTCTTCCCCTGAGCCCCCAGATGAGGAGGGCTGCGCTCTGCGGGGAGTGTGCACTGCCCGGCCGGTGTGCGCCACGGCTGCGCGTTTTGGTGGAAAGCCCTGGGCCCCTGCTGGGGGGTTGGGGTGGGGGGGCTGGGTCGCCTGCGCCGAGTGTTGCTGAGGCTGCGTCTTGGGTGCGCAGCTCCGGCCCAGCCTCACCCAGGGGAACGCCTCGCAGGTGCTCACGGACGATGGAGAGGTCCGCGCCCAGGGTGGGAGTCCGCGCTTCCGGGTGTGTCTGCAGCTCGGGGCGCTGGAGGGTGGGATGTGACCCCGAGACGGCGGCGGCCTGGCACGTGATGTATGTGTGTCCTTGTCTGATGTGTCGGTGTCCCCGATGGACCGGGTTCCAGTCCCAGCTTTGCCACTTCCCGGCTTGTGTGCCTTGGGGCAGGTGACTACCCCGCGCTGTGCCTCAGTTGCCTCATCTGTACAATGGGCATGATTTAAAAATACCTGTCTCAGGGCGGTTATGAGGATTGCAAGGTAATTCTGTACGTGTAAAACGCTGCGGACGATACCTGGCACAGACTAAATACTCCTAAGAATAAATACATTAAATAAACTATGATCATGTATCTTTTGTATGAGGCAAGTGCTGTGGTTGTGTAATGTCTGCGAAACCTCACGGGAAACGTGGGTATTTGCGATCCGTGTGTCTGTGCGCGTGTCTGTGTCTGTGTTGTGGGTGTGTGAATCTTTGTATGTGTTATGTGTGCCCGTGCGTGTTTCTGCATGTGATGTGTGACTGTGGTGGGGTTCTGTGTCTTTGTAACCTTGTGTGAAAGGTGTGTGTATTTGTGATGTGTGTGTCCAAGTCTGTTTAGGTATGTGATACATGCATCTCTGTGTGTCTGTGTATTTGATCTGTGTGCCTATGTCTGTGTTTATGTATAGTGTGTGACTGTGTATATGTGCATGTTATATATGTGTCTGTGTATATCAGTGTGTGGTGTATTTATGTGCATTTTTGCATGTGATTTATGTAGCCCTGTGTGTATGAGTTGTGTGTGCCTGTATGCATGTGTAGGTAATGTGTCTGTATATATCCATGTGTGTGAAGTGTGTGTCCGTGTGAATGATGCATGTTACATGTCCATATATATGCATGTGTTACGTTTCTGTGTACTCACGTATGTGATGTGCCTGTCTCTGTGTAGCTGCTGGGTCCGTGTCTATGTTAGTTCATATGATGTATGTGTCTGCGTGTGTCCATGCAATTGCTGTCTGTGCATGTCCATGTGACATGCATGTATGTGATACTTGTGTCTGTGGGTATTCTTTGTTGCTCATTTGTCTAGGGGTTCTCTGCGTGGCTGTGACTATGAGTGTCAGCATGTCACAGTGGTGTCCGTGGGGATCTTTGTGCTGTGTGCGTCTGTGGATTTGGGGCTTTACTTTGTCTGGGGCATGTGTGGGTCTTTGTGATGCTTTGACGTTCCTGCGTGGCCGGGTGCATCTGTGCTGGAAGCCGGCCTGCCTGTGCGTTTCCAGTGCGGTCCCTGCGTCTTTGTGTGTGACGTGTACGTGTCCCCGTCTGCTGATGGCTGTCCACCTTTGTATGTGATGCGCTTGTCTATGAGGGTCCCTGCGACGTGTGTCAGCTGTGTGTGGGCTGCGCGTGCCTGACATCTGCATCTTGGCGTGTAGCACATGTGTCCATGCTGGTGGCATGTCACAGCGGTGTCCGGGCCAGGCACCCGTGGGCCCTGCCCCCCTTCCCCCTCCCCGCCGCAAGCGTGTGCCAGTCCCTGTCTGTCCCTCCCCCTCCCATTTCCTCCCCTCCCTCCTGGCAGCCAATGCTACGGGGGAGCCAGTTGCCATGACGACGCTCCATCCTCCCTCCTCCCACCCTTCCTGTGACAGGCTCTCTGCTCCCCCAATCCTGGCTGCCCTCGGGGGCGGGGCCCTCTTTCTCGCCCCCCCCATCCTACCCTCGGCTCCCCAGCTCCTCTCCTCTGTCCGCCTCTCCATCCCTTCATCCGTCTGTCCCTTCAAAGAGGGGGAGGGGGGTACCTGAGCCAGCAAGCAGCCCCTCCCTCCCCCTGTCCTGCGTCTCCTGCCCCTCTCCTGGGCCGGGAGGAGGCCAGGGTCGCGCGGGTCCCCATGGCTGGGGGCTGAGGGCCCGCCCCCCCCTCCTCCCCAGCCGCCACCACCTCCACCTCCCTGCCATCCTCGACAAGATGCCTGCCCCCGGCGCCCTCATCCTCCTTGCGGCCGTCTCCGCCTCCGGCTGCCTGGCGTCCCCGGCCCACCCCGGTGAGTCTGTCGGGCCATCCGTCTGTCCAGCGGCCCCCACCCGCGCGGCGGCCTCGCTGTCTTCCCAGGGGTCTGTCTGCAGGTCCTGCCCCGTCACCTGGTGCGCGTCTTCCCGCAGCCCAGCCGGGCCCGGAGCGACGGGGACGGTGCCTCTGTCAGCAGGGCCTGTGGGAGGGAGGCTGGGGGCTGGGTGGGGAGGGGGCTCCGTTTGGGCAACATGTGTGTATGCGTGCACGCATGTGTTTGTGCTGGTGTGTGCAGGAAGCCGGGGAAGGATAGGGCCTCTGGGAGAATTGGGGGCAGAGGACAGGAATACTATTTCTAAGGGGGACACAACACGAGAGGCTGTCTCTGGCTTCTGGGGAGACCCAGGGCTTGCGGAGTTCCCTTCTTTGGGTCTCGGGCTGGGGATAGAGGACATCGGTGTGCGCCAAGCGTCCCTAAAAGAGACAGATCTCAACCCCACAAACTGGGGGGTTCCAGCATGGGGCAAGAATCCTCTCCCAGCCTGCAGCTTAGAGCTCGTCCTCCTCCCCAATGAGGGGTAATGAGGCTGTCCATGGGAGCGTATTTTAAATTCTGCAAGCTCCAGGCTTCACTATTACTCCTCTTTCCTTCAGCCCTCACTGGAATTCATCCAAGCCTGGGGTGAGGGGATGGGGTGGGGTGAGGTGGGGGGGTCCCAGTTTGGGACCAGAGGAGAGACCCCACCCCCAATCCAACCACTTGGGAAGGCCCCAAACTACAACTCCCACAATGCCTTGGGCCACTCTGCACCTCTACCAAGGGACCCTGGTCGCAGAGCATCATGGGAGTTGTAGTCCAAGATGTGCCGGGACGGGAGGGGGCATGATTCCGGTATCCAGGGACTTGAAGCTGGGACCCCAGCCCAGCCCTGTGCCCGCAGATGGATTCGCCCTGGGCCGGGCTCCTCTGGCTCCTCCCTACGCTGTGGTCCTCATTTCCTGCTCCGGCCTGCTGGCCTTCATCTTCCTCCTCCTCACCTGTCTGTGCTGCAAACGGGGCGATGTCGGCTTCAAGGTGAGGTGCATGAGGGGATTCAACCTGGGGAGGAAGACTCCAGCAAGGCCTTTACCCCCAACACAGGTGGTTGGTGGGGAGAGGGGGGCAGTAAATCCGAGAGCACCTTCTAGCTTGAAGCTATGGCAAGATCTGGAGCCTTGGGATGGAGAAAGAGGGGGATGGAAATTGGGTTGGGACTGGGAGACAGTTACAAAAATGAAGGGGAGACAAACGTAAGAGAAAGACGATGGCGTGTCTCTCAGCCCTGCGTTCTCCAACTCCTCCTCGCCTCTCTCGGCCCCAGGAGTTTGAGAACCCTGAAGGGGAGGACTGCTCCGGGGAGTACACTCCCCCTGCGGAGGAGACCTCCTCCTCACAGTCGCTGCCTGATGTCTACATTCTCCCACTGGCTGAGGTCTCCTTGCCAATGCCTGCCCCGCAGCCTTCACACTCAGGTACTGCCCCACGCCATGACCGGAATCCCATGGTGTCCCGGGAAAGGCCAGAAGATGTTGAGTGTCTTCCTTTAGGGGCTGGGGCGGTTGAGACCAGGGGCAGCCAACGGGAAAGGCATAGGTGGGAGCCCCGGAATCCTGGAAGCAGCCTATGGGAAGGCAGACAAAGATCATCTTGGTGGTAGCCATTGCTTAATCCAAAACCAGATTTGGGGATTCTTGTGGGGCAAGCAGTGGTGAGATTAGCATAGAGCACAGTCTCAGAGGCAACCAATGGGAGGCTGAAATCACATCATAGGAGCTTGGGATGCCAAAGGGAAGGACTGATTGGATGCTGGAGTCTTGTGAGCAGCCAATGAGGAAGCTGAGATTCTGACATGGAATGTGGGTGGCAGCCAATGAAAAGAGAGTGATGTCTGCTCTGACCCCAGTCCCCACTGACTTGGGGTGTGTTGGTGGCACTCGGGAGGGGGGAGAGGCTCAGGGGCTTTCCCCTCTTGCCCTCCCCAGACATGACCACCCCCCTGGGCCTTAGCCGCCAGCACCTCAGCTACCTGCAGGAGATTGGGAGTGGCTGGTTTGGGAAGGTGAGTGGGCTGGGGAGGGGAGGCAGGGCTCCATGGATCCGAGCTGTCCTCCTGTTCTGTGTCCACACCCCTGCTCTCACCACTTCTCATCTATCCCTCGCCTCCTCCCCGTGCCCCCTCAGCCTCCCATTCCCCCTCCGTCCACCTCTCACCGGCTCCCACCCGCCCCATCCCCGACATCTGTCAGTCAGCGCCTCCCTCCTCACTCCATTGACCACTCCGCCGCGCCACCCGGCTCTCCACGCGTCCGTCCGTCTGTCCATCCTTCCATCCGTCCCTGCGTCCATCGGATTCTGGGCCCGTGAGTGTCTCACCCCATGTCTGGTGTGGGTCAAGGGTGGTGGGATGTGGAGGGAAAAGCTGGGAAGGAGCCGGGGGTTGGGAGCTGTGTGGTGGAGTGGAGCTGGTCCCAGGGGACGGGGCTGGGGAACTGGCACTCGCTGACTCCTGGGTTCCCCTTGACCAGGTGATCCTGGGAGAGATTTTCTCCGACTACACCCCTGCCCAGGTGGTGGTGAAGGAGCTCCGAGCCAGCGCAGGGCCCCTGGAGCAACGCAAGTTCATCTCCGAAGCCCAGCCCTACAGGTACTGGGGGTTTTTCAGTGGGTGTGTGCCTTGTTGAGGTGACATTCAGGAGTGGAAGGAGCGCTGTATGGGTCAAACGTGGAATCTACCTCTTCCCAGCTGTGCAGCTCTGGCAGGAGAACTTCCCTCCCTGAACCTCAGGTTCTTCCTCTGGACCGAGCTAAGGGTGGGAAATGAGAGGCAGGATGGTGGAGGAGGCGGGAGCACAGGAGCTGAGCTAGAGGCCTGTTCCTCTCCCCTCTGAACCTCCGGATCTTCATCTGGAAAGTCAGTCCAAGAAGCCCTAGTGTCCTCATGAAGTGGGCAGCTGAGAGGATGTGAGATTCCCATGTTCAATGTTGGGTACCGGCTGGTGCTTCCCTTCCCCAGGCCACAGACTAGGTTCCTGAGCAGGCCACTGTGGAGCTCCATCCCTGCCCTGCTTGGTCTGTACTCCACTCTCAGTGCTTCTAGGATGGTGTCTAGGTAAACACTTGCCAGATACATTCCTTGTGAAGTAGCGAGTTCCCTGTCTTGGAAAGGGTGTGTTCGCAGAGACCCCTTATCAGAGCAGTTGTAAAGGTGGGCTTTACCCTGAGAAACACATCGGGTTTTGGCACTCCCTTGCTCCAAAACCTTCCATGGCTCCCAACTGCCTACAGGACACATCTGCTCCTCCTGACAGCCCACAGGCCCTGCAGAGTCTGACACAGTCCCCTTCCTTCCATTGTTCCCCTCACCCCAGCCACCCTGGCCTCCCCACGGACCCTCCCCACGGAAGCCTCTTCCCTGCCCCAGCGCATTGCTGCTTGCTATATCCTTTCTCTAGAATGTCACTCCCTGCACACCCCTAGGTGTGGATGGGGACCCTTCCCTTCCTCAGGCCTCAGCTCAGAGACACCTTCCCTTACTCCTCTCCTCCTTCCAAAGAGGGGCCTGGGATGCTCCACCCCGTCATGGTGTGTGTTTTCTTCATAACCCGTACCCCAGGTTGTCACTGTATCATCTGCTTACTTGCTTATTGCCTGTCTCTCCCTAAACCTGTGCCAGCAACCACTGGCCACATATGCCTATTACATTTAAGCTAAGATGGGCAAGGTGGTATACGCCTGTAGTCCCAGCATTTTGGGAGGCCAAGGTGGGAGGATCACTTGAGGCCAGAAATTGGAGGATGCAGTGAGCTATGGCTGTACCACTGCACTCCCACCTGGGTGACAGAGCAAGACCCTGTCTCTATTATATAAATAAATACATAAAATGTAAGCTAATTAAAATGCAATCAAATTAAAAACACATTTCCTCAGCTACCCTCATCATATCTCAAGTGCTCGATAGCCACCTGTAGCCAGTGGCACCCCTGGTAGGCAGGGCTGGTCCAGAACATTCCCACCTTCGCAAAGCTCTGTTGGACAGTGCAGGTCTCTACTAGCAGCAGCTCGGGGTCCATCTCGTTACCCCAGCACAAGTGCTGTTGGCTCTCTGTAGACGTTTGCTGAGCAAGCCACAGACCCGAGATGAAATCCCAACATTCCCATCATTACCAGCTGTGTGACCCTAGGCAAGTCACTTCACCTCTCTGAGCCTCTGTTTCCACCTGGATCAAATGGGGATCATCATCCTGCCTAGCAGGTTGCTGGGAGGATTTGACAGCAGAGCGGCCGGCCTTGGCCAGATTTGTGGGTGTACAGTGAATCCTGGCTTCCTCCTACAACAGCCGCCCCAAGTGCCGGGAACTCCAGCCACTGTTTAAGCCTCATGCATGGCAGGAGCCTTGTGAACACTTTGTCGGGCCGGGTACAGTGGCTTTGTCAGGCTGGGCGCGGTGGCTCACGCCTGTAATCCTAGCATTTTGGGAGGCTGAGGTGGGCAGATTGCCTGAGCTCAGGAGTTGGAGACCAGCCTGGGTGAAACCCCATCTCTACAAAAATACAAAAAAATTGGCCAGGCACAGTGGCTCACACCTGTAATCCCAGCACTTTGGGAGGCTGAAGCAGGCAGATCATGAGGTCAGGAGTTCGAGACCAGCCTGGCCAACCTGGTGAAACCCTGTCTCTACTAAAAATGCAAACATTAGCCAGGTGTGGTAGGCGGGCACCTGTAATCCCAGCGACTCGGGAGGCTGGGGCAGGAGAATCATTTGAACCCAGGAGGTGGAGGTTGCAGTGAGCCGAGATCACTCCACCACATTCCAGCCTGGGAGACAGAGCGAGAAAACAACAATAACAACAGCACTGTTGCACAATTCTTCCGCCAAGCAGGAGCAAGAGACCCTGTTCTCCTGGGAAGGACACACAGCATAAACAGCAGAGCCGTGGTTACACACAGGCAGTAGACGGCTGGGTACCGGGCAGCGGCCCCACAGCACACAAGTGGCTCTGCCTCCCGCCAGGCACCCAGTAGGAAAATAACTAGTAAGTTACTGTGCACCTACTCCTGGCCAGACCCTGGGCTGCAAGCCTGAAATATTCTCTTCCTCCTGTAGACTACCAAGCCAGTCCTTCTCTCCGCATGTGTTTATTCAGCATCTACTAGCCTAGGCACGGGGGACACAGGCAGGAAGACACACCAAATTCTCATCCTAGGAAAGCTCACCCCCTAGTGGAAAAGGCACACAACAGATAAATAAAGAGAGACTTTTTTTCCCCTGCAAGGCTCACTTTAGCCTTGAGCTCCTGGGCTCAAGTGATCCTCCTGCCTCAGCCTCCTGCATAGCCACCAGGCCTGGCTAACTTTTATTTTTATTTATTTATTTATTTGTCTTTTTTTTTTTTTTTTTCCCCCCAGATGAAGTCTTGCTTTGTTGCCCAGGCTGGCATTCAGTGGTACAATCTCAGCTCACTGCAACCTCTGCCTCCCGGGTTCAAGCAATTCTCCTGCCTCAGCCTCCCGAGTAGCTGGGATTACAGGCACCCACCACCACATCTGGCTAATTTTTTGTATTTTTAGTAGAGACGGGGTTTCACCACGTTGGCCAGGCTGGTCTCGAACACCTGACGTCAGGTGATCCACCCACCTTGGCCTCCCAAAATGTTGGGATTACAGGTATTTTTGTTTTGTTTTGTTTTGATTTTGAGACAGAATTTCACTCTTGTTGCCCAGGCTGGAGTGCAATGGCACGGCCTCAGCTCACTGCAACCTCCACCTCCCGCGTGCAAGCAATTCTCCTGCCTCAGCCTCCCAAGTAGCTGGGATTACAGGCATGCAGCACCACACTTGGCTAATTTTGTATTTCTAGTAGAGACGGGGTTTCTCCATGTTGATGAGGCTGGTCTCGAACTCCCGACCTGAAGTGATCCACCCGCCTCGGTCCCCCAAAGTGCAGGGACTACAGGTGTGAGCCACTGCGCCCGGCCTCTTTTTTTTTTTTTTAATTGTACAGATGGATTTTCACTATGTTGCCTCAGCTGGTCTCAAATTTCTAGGTTCAAGCCATCCTCCTGCCTCGGCCTCCCAGAGTGCCAAGATTTCAGGTGAGAGCCACCATGCCAAGCCATAAACCCATTTTAAAAAGAGAAACTGTCAGCCGGGCGCGGTGGCTCACACCTGTAATCCCAGCACTTTGGGAGGCCGAGGCAGGCAGATTGCCTGAGGTCAGGAGTTCAAGGCCAACCTGGTCAACATGGTGAAATCCCATCTCTAATAAAAATACAAAAATTAGCCAGGCATGGTGGCACATGACTGTAATCCCAGCTACCCAGGAGGATGAGGCAGGAGAATTGCTTGAGCCTGAGAGACGGAGGCTGCAGTGAGCCAAGATTGTGCCACTGCACTCCAGTCTGGGCGACAGAGCAAGACTCTGTCTCAAAAAAAAAAAAAAAAAAAAAGAGAAAGAGAGAGAGAGAAACTGTCAGAGAATGACAAGTACCATGAGGAATTGAGGCAATATGTGACAGAGACAGGGCCCACTTTGGACAGCACCATCAGGGAGGCTGGGTTGATCTGGAGGAGCTGGCCATGCAAAGCACCATGGGAAGTGCAATCCAGACAGAGGGAACAGCAGATGCAAAGGATGTAGGACAGGAAGAAGCTCAAGGAGAGTGAATATCCCTGGAAATACAGTTAGAATGCAGGGTGAAGGCTGGGCACGGTGGCTCATGCCTGTAATCCCAGCACTTTGGGAGGCCGAGGTGGGCAGATCACTTAAGGTCAGGAGTTCAAGACCAGCCTGGCCAACATGGTGAAATCCCGTATCTACTAAAAATACAAAAATTAGCTGAGTGTGGTAGCGTGCACCTATAATCCCAACTACGCGGGAGGCTGAGGCAGGAGAATCACTTGAACCTGGGAGGCAGAGGTTGCAGTGAGCCGAGATTACACCGCTGTACTCCAGACTGGGTGAAACAGCAAGACTCTGTCTCAAAAAAAAAAAAAAAAAAAAAAAAAAAAAAAATGCAGGGTGAAAATAAAATCAAATAACATGTTGCCATTAAAACAGCAGTAATTGCTAGGATCTCAGCACATACCAGCTTTTCTCAGATCTCATGAAATTCCTCGGAGGAAGTTGCTGTCTCTGTCCCCCTTTTACAGATGAGGGAAACTGAGGCAGGGAGCAGCGAAGTGACTTGCCTGAGATGACACACCTAGGAAAGTGGGAGTCAGGGTTCAAACCCCCCGAGTCTGACTCTTTCCCACAGCGTGAGGGTAAAGGGGCGGTATTCAACCTGGCACTGGGGAGCAGCGAAGCTTCCAGGGGAGATGATGTTGAGGCAGAGGCCCGGGGGTGCCAAGAGAACTCTGATCAGAGGAGGGCGTTCTGCAGAGAGAGAACC